CCAATAAATGTTATTACTCATCCTAATTATGATGAGCAATTAAATCCATATGGATATTTTACCTTTCTTGTATCATAAATATTAGCAACATATATAAATTAATTTACCAAATTAAAAAAAATTAAAAAATAAAAGACATATCTTGTACGGAAAAAATAGGCCTTTTTTATTGGCACCCTACAATGTTATGAACACACCCCATTTTCTTTTATTTGGTCTGAATTTCCTTTTCTACCCTAATTTAAATTGGATAAAAACAAACAAACAAAACTAGCACCACCTTCATCATCCTAAAACCTACTCCTTCTAGACAACCCCCCACCATAGCACCTCCATTAACAAAATGATCTCAAGTATACCAAAACATGTGCCGACTTACAATTAAACTAGCCAATAGTCTCATAGAATGTCAATTCCTACTTGACATAGAATGATTGCTTCTCTGCAAGTAGCATTTTTCAAAATTTTCACGGCCATCAAGTTTGACACACCTCCGACCCAGAATGTCAATTAGGACTCCGAATCGAGTTGTGCTGGCCGATACCTGGAAGGTGACGAAGCCATAATGTATATATATATTGATGTGGAAAATGTGAATAAATTTAAACCAAAAAGTGTCCAAAGACAAGAGTGCACTATGAGCAGGAATAAGCCCATTTCACACGCGATGTCAGAGCATAAGTAAAGTACAGTAGTGTGGGTAAGGATCATACCCTTAAAGGTAGCCACCTATACTGAGATTCTCCACGAATCCTCGTCGATACGAACTTTCAATCGTTAAAAACCTAGAGGGGCGCAAAAACAAGGGTGAGTGGGATTGAAAATAAAGTTTTTAATAAAAACATTTTGAAAATGTTATAACCCCTCGCCATAAAACCCATATAATTTCCCAAAAAATAATAATACATACGTATACAGAAATCATGCTCGAGAGTAGTGAAACCAAGTTTATACCATGTCAAGTATCTCAACAATAAAATAAGTAAGTTAGGTGAGATAAATTAATATAAAATGATATGTCAGCCGGAGTCACCTAACGTGACCTGTACGACTAAACCTATACCTCATCAACCAATTCTTGCACACGAGTCGGAACCACCTATTGTGGTCTATACGATAGGGCTGGGTGTAAATAAGTACGCTCAAGTGCTACGATCATGTGATAAATATGCGAATAATCGCGGGTCACCAATGAGTCGAAACCACCTAATGTGGTCTGTACAACAGGGTTGTGCACCAAACTTGGATCCAAGGTGAGCGTGCGGTGCGGGAGGTGAACATCATATGAAGGACTGTGCCCTGACCATGGGCAAGCGCACTAACACCGGGGTGCAGGATAAAGAGCTCTACATGCCTATACGTATAACCATGACCAATGCGACTACTAACATCATACAGTACTCACCTGAAACTTCCCTGGCCTCTGTAGCATCATACAATAGTATGCATATACATACCAATGCATATAATAAAATGAAATGCAAGTATGGCATGACATTTAAAAACGTAAATCCATTTAAAACAATATCTAGGAAAATAGAAAACATATATATGTATATATAGAAAAACAAAAGCCCATTCACCTGGAGTCCGTGCTACAACTCCCTAGCACAAATATCAAGGTGTCACGAACGATCGGCGTCTAGAACAATTATCAAATCATGTCTTAAAAGTCTTATCAATAGAATACGTAACTTACATATTCTATTAAAAAAGATCCGTGCATCGGATTTCCGATTTGTAAGTTTCTAATATCCTCAAATATTACGTATTATAATGTATCAAAGTTTGGTGATGATCCCACGGTCGGACCTTAATGGAACTACATTCAAATGACGAAAATTCGTCAATCGAACTTCACCAATGGAATCAGGGTATTTAAATTTAACCTAAGAAGGTCAGGGGACGTCTCGGCCCACGCGCCGCCTTAGGTGGCAGTCGGCCGTCCCAACTCACCAGAAAATTTAACTATTTCTAAAAATTATCAAATTTTATAGAAATAAATATCTCAATGAGTGGAGCAACTTCCATATCTGTGACTAAGGCCAATTTGTCAGGCAAAAGCCTTAATTTCATGAAAACCCGCCGGAAACCCTTAAAATTGGGTAGTTGTTACTCGCCACCAAAACGAACTCTGATGCCTCCACTAAAGCTTGAGCCTTGCTCCTGGGGTTGAGATGAGTCTTTTGGTGGTGATAATCGACGGTGAAACTCACCGAAGTCATTGGAAAAAGGTTAAAATAACCAGATGCCACCGTGGGTTTGTGGGTTCGATTTGTGAATTTGGGTAAGAAATTTGGAAATCTAACACAATAGAGATATAGGGCTCGTCAAGGGCTTTCCGTGGACACCAAGATTACCCAAAATGGAGTTCGTATGAAGGAGATATGAGCGGGTCAAGTTGGCGGGTCGGGTAGAAATTAGACTATTTTGTAGGTAAAAATTGCGCGGAACATATAGCTTTTGTTTTGTGTATTAGGGGTTGGAGTATGGCTTTTTATATTAACACCCCACAAATGTTGAATGCACCCCACATTAAAATTTAATATTAAATGATTTATTTACTCTACTATGCAATGGCAATTTTGACCTTATTAGGTTTACAAAAAAAACAAAAATCTAAATACACCACAAATCAATTTTAACGTATTATTTATCTTCTTCAATGATCAAAATCCTTCCGACCCTCCATTGTTGAACAAAACACTAACCTATGAAACTACAAACAAGTTGATTGAGAAAAATTATTTTTGACAAATGAAACACAAAATCGATGTTTCAGAAGCTTCACATGAGGTAAGACTTATTGTTTTAGTGATTTTGACGACAACGATAATTATTTAATCTTGCTTTTGTTGTGTTATTCAAGCTTCTATGTTCGTATTCATCTTTTAGGGATCACAGAGATTACATGAAGAATTAAACACCTAAAATTACCACCAAATATTAAAAACAGACGACATGGGTTTTAATGGTGGTATTGAAAACAACCCACATATGCTTTAAATCCCAAGCGGCATCTTTTGTCAAAATTTCAGTTGGCATTTTTTGTCTAAATTAAAAGCTTAATAAGATTTGAGAAATGTGGAGTGTATAGAAAATATGGGATGCATGTAGAAAATGTTAGGTGTATATTGAGAATGTGAAGTGTGAGGTGTGAGGTGTAAGGGTATTGTGGGGAAATATGTGGAGTGTATTAAGATAATTTTTTATTGAAAAAGCAAATGTAGGGTGTATTAAGTATGTGATGTTTATTCAACAATTTGTGGGGTCTTAATATAATAAGCCTTGGAGTATTAGACGAAGCTGTATTAGGTTTATTGTTGTGTTGGTAGGTAAATTAACTTATATTTTTAATGCACAAAATTATGAAATAAATATTATTATTATTCAATCACCACGTTAGAACAATTTGAAAGTTAATACATTGAATATACAATGAGTGACATGAATTATTTTGTAAAATATATAAAATTAATTAAATGGATATAACAAGTAAAAACAAAAAACAAAAACAAAACAAATAATTGATTCAAAAACCCTATCCAAGTATTAACAGGGGTAGTTTAGGCATTCAAAAAATACACAATTTGAAAAGGAGAGCTACTAGACCCACCCCACAATCCTATTTCTTCACCCAACCTTATATTATCACCCCTCAAAAAAGTTAAAAAATAAAAAAACTCTTTCTCCACCTACCAATATTCCTAAAATGACCATCATATATTCTACTGTTTTCCAGAAATTGAAAGAAATAACTGCAAAAATCACTCAACCCACCTACCATCCAACCCTATACAACACAACACAACTCGACGACAACCCCATTCACCGTCCACTGTGAACCCACCCTCGAGCATCTTCTGCTTGTTGAGGGCCTTGATGCCACGTTTCTCGTGTGGTATACCTTCGCGAAGGCCCTGCACCCCAGCAGCCTCCCAACTTTGTAATTCCCAAACAGGTTTATCTCGCGACGTCAGAGTTGTTGCCATTGTTGGCAACAACCTCAATCTCCGACATGCCTCAAATTTTTCGGACTAGCAAAAAAAATTCCCAACTCTTCCTCCTACCATTCACTGTTGATTCTTCCTCCTTGCATTTCCTGCTGATATCGACGAAGTCCCAGTAAAGACAAAATACAGAGAATCTTGCATCTTGATGAAGGAGCGGCAATAGTAAAGCATCAGATCAAACATACCATTAAACACCACCTAGCCAACCATAACCACCATCCATACCATTAGCACTGTACCACATCCATTAAAAACATAAATCCCAAAATTAACATATCGGGTGGCCAACAAGCATGAAAAAAATTTAGAAACAAAAAATAAATTAGATGGGGAAAAAAGAAAAGGAGAATAATATTGCGAGGGAGAAGAGGATGAAAAGGAGCTGAGAGAGCAAAGTAGTTCGTTAGAATAGTAAAAATCAAAGGTTGAACTTCGAACAACTACTAGGTCCTTATATGTTATTTGGTCAAGAGGTAAACTTGTAAATAAATTTTTTATTTGGATGTAGATGGAAAAATAAGACACAGATGTGGGGATATCAGCACTCTTTGAAAAGTCAAATTTAATTGAAGAATTTGTTTAGTTGAAGGCTAATCAATGAGTTTTATTTAAGAAAACATAAAGAAATGGATTTTAATAAAGAAAAATATAGTTTTAAAGGGTAATGTCAAAATTTCAGTTTTTTTTTTTAATGCTCGATACTCGATAGAAAAAAATGATTCTCTTTTTGGTATCAGGGTAAGCAATTACGCAATGGCAATGGGATGACGTCAGCAAACCATTAGGAAAGTTCAGACAAGACATACAACATTTAGAAGACCCTCGTTTGACTTCTGATTTCGCTCACCAAACACGTCATCCAGCCAGCACTCATAGCCGTATAAATAGCACCCAACCAATCCCCAAATTTAGCAATCCCTCCCTCTCTCTCTCTCTCTCTCTCTCTCTCTCTCTCTCTCTCTCTCTCTCTCTCATCATTCTACTAGCCAAAGCTCCCATACGAATTAATCAAGGGCAATTTTGTGATGTCTACAGAACAAGAACACCCCAAGAAAGCCTTTGGTTGGGCCGCCAGAGATTCATCTGGCGTTTTCTCTCCCTTCAAATTCTCAAGAAGGTAAATTAATCCAAACTTCCCCATCAACTTCTTGTTTAATCAATCTTTTTATATGTTCTCTGAAAATTGCATTTTTTTGCTGCAGAGAAACCGGCGACAAAGATGTGATGTTCAAAGTGTTATACTGTGGGATATGCCATTCGGACCTTCATATGGCCAAGAACGAATGGGGAATGTCTAACTATCCATTGGTTCCCGGGTACGTACTAAACTTGCATTTTAAATGCTACAAGTACTAATGTCAAATGGTACATTGTAGAACGAACACATATATTTATAGTATCTGAATTTGGATTTTGGTATCCATTTGACTTATGGAATGTGAGCTGGGCAATGCAGACATGAGATTGTTGGTGTAGTGACAGAGGTAGGGAGCAAAGTACAAAAATTCAATGTTGGAGACAAGGTAGGTGCTGGGTGCATGGTGGGATCATGTAAATCTTGTGAAAGTTGTTCCAACAATCTTGAAAATTACTGTCCCAAATCGATACTTACTTATGGTTCCAAGTACTACGATGGAACCACCACATACGGAGGTTACTCTGACATCATGGTGGCCAATGAGCACTTTGTAGTCCGTATCCCAGACAACCTTCCCCTTGATGGAGCGGCTCCTCTCCTATGCGCTGGGATTACAACTTACAGCCCTTTGAGATATTTCGGACTTGACAAACCAGGTATGCATGTGGGTGTGGTGGGTTTAGGTGGTCTAGGGCATGTGGCTGTCAAGTTTGCTAAGGCCATGGGGGTTAAGGTTACTGTCATCAGTACCTCCCCTAGTAAGAAGGATGAAGCAATTGAACATCTCTGCGCTGATTCGTTTTTGGTCAGCCGCAATGAAGATCAGATGCAGGTACGATGATTATTAATTTAAACAAGTTTGTTTATTCATTCAAGTTGATTTGAAGTGTGTAGGGATGACTGAACTTTTTCTTGTTTTTATTTTTTTGTTTGGATTTTTTAGGCTGCCATGGGGACATTGGATGGTATCATTGACACGGTTTCTGCACTCCACCCTCTATTGCCTTTGATTGGTTTGTTGAAGTCTCACGGAAAGCTAGTGATGGTTGGAGCACCAGAGAAGCCTCTTGAGCTTCCTGTTTTTCCTTTGCTCGTGGGTAAGCATGCATGTAAAATAATGCATTGACATGTTTACTTCCTCAATACAAATTATATTTCCACTGAGGGATGGAGGATTTGTGGTATGAGACGTTTACTTTTTAAACGGTGTAATGTCGTTGGCTGCAACTTCTTTACGAGTATATTTTGCAATTGCAGGAAGGAAAATTGTAGCTGGCAGTAACACTGGGGGCATGAAGGAGACGCAAGAGATGATTGATTTCGCAGCCAAGCACAACATAACAGCTGATATTGAGGTTATCCCAATGGATTATGTGAACATTGCCATGGAGCGCCTTCTTAAAACAGATGTCAGATATCGATTTGTCATCGATATTGGAAACACATTGAAGTCTACCTTGTAGATTTTGCATCGATGCATGTAGAACTGATGCCCCTTGGGTTTTTGTTTCCTTTTTTTCGGAAGAATCAACTTTGTTTCTGGTTTTTAATGCTTTGTATCACATTATGAGCGGAATGTATTAATGCATTTTGAATTTATGAATAAATAGAATGCATGTATTTGAGAATTATTGTCGTGCGCGATTTGTTTTGGTTTGTCTAATGCCCCAAATGTTAACATGGATCTGTCAATATTCTCCGACAATTCTAGGATTGCTAAAAGGGTTTTTTATTTTTATTTTTGGTCGAAGTTGGAAATTCATTACCCGGGAAAAAGCCAATAAGTACAAGGAAAGCCGAAGTAAGGCTAACAGAAAGCATAAATACAACATAATAAAGGAAAATGTTGAAGATAGAGACTTCTAGACGCTGCACTAAGTGCCAGACGTCACTCCACCACTCCCACGTGGACTTAGCTAGCCGGAGGACAAGGGAGGTCGTCCTTGTTGAGGATATGCACCAGGGAAGATAGAGGTCTAACTACCCAAGTGCCAGTATCCATCTCTTAAAGGTTTCTTGATGCCAACTTATCCGCCACCCTATTAGCTGATCTTGGGATCCAAGACCAGGGACAGACTTGAACAGACTCCCCCATTTATGCGATCTTTGTTAAGGTCGGGAAAGCTTCCCAACTACCAAGGTGAATAGGCCCTTGAAGGCACGAAATAACCTCCAGAGAGTACGATTTGACCATGATTTGGGGTAAGCCCAGCTCCCAGAAAAAACTGCAACCACCAAGTACCGCTAAGGCCTCTGCCATCGTAACAGTAGGAGCAGAGATATTGTCCCTCTTTGCTGTGAGAAAATCCCCCAAATGGTCCCTAATAACCACCCCGATCTTAGCACTTTTCGTGTTAAGACACCAACTAGCATCAACATTCACTTTGCATAATGGGAGGCCGGAAGGAGCCACATTGGTGGGGAGCCATTCGTGACATGAACCGAGGAGGAACATGCTCCTCATTCGCCGAAAAGAAAGAATTCGCATCACATACAGTTGCATAGATAACCTAAATTGGGGATGATGGTTTGAGGTTAAAGATAGCTGAGCAACGAGCCTTCCATATTTTCCAGCAAGTAAAACCAATTAAAGTCAATAATCTGGACTTCTCCTTCTTATTCCTCCCAATTCCAGAAACCACATGTTTCAGCTAAGAACCCAAGGTAAAAATCTAGTCCCTTTGTATCTGCAGGTTAAGAGGGCCACCAAACCAGACCAGAGCAACCCACAGGCATAAGAATGATAAGTGCTCCATAGATTCTTCCATTTCCTTGCAGATTGGGCATAGGGTCAATGAAGTAGAAAGACGTTTAAGGAGACATTTCTTGGTTGCAAGGCCATTCCAAAAAGCACTCCACAAGAAATTTCTAATTTTTAGGGGTGCATGGAGCATCCATAGTTTCTTCCAAACCCTACCATCAACTGGTTATGACGCCAAAAGATGACCCAAAGCAGTAGCCCGACCTCGACTTCGCAACCAATGGTAGCCCGACTTAATCGTAAACCTTATTTTTTTTCCCACGACCAGATAAGACGGTCATTTCTACAATGGTCACAAGGGCAGTCTGCATGATTGTCAAGTGATCAATGGAGGGAATGATGGTTCTAATGTCCTCCATATCCCAAGATGAGGAGATTGGGCAAATGATCGAGTCCACCATCTGACCCAAATTTACTTGGGTATCTTACAAAGGGGTTGGATGGCCATAACTTGATATCATGCCTACTCAAAACCTATCAATGAGTACACTCCGAGATGATTTTCCTGCCTTCCAAAAGGCTTGCCCAACCCCACGAAGCTCTGAACCCTTTCTTAGCTTCAAAGAATAAGGAGTTGGGGAAGTACCGGGCCTCAAGAACTGTACCCAGAGTGAATTCGGTTCATTGATAATCCTCCAACTTTGTTTTGCAAGCAGAGCTAGATTGAATTCTTGGAATGATCTAAAACCCAAACCGCCCTCACTCTTAGGAAGGCCCATAGGTTCCCAACTTACTCAGTGGATCTTGCGTTCCTCATTCTTTTGCCTCCACTAAAAGTGAGCAATCATAGCATCATGGTCATTACATGTGGTAAGTGGGAATTTAAAAATGTTCATTAGGTAAGTGGGAATTGCCTACACCATCGCTTTGATAAGCACATCCTTCCTAGCTTGGGATAAAAGGTTTTGCTTCCAACCTTGAAGTTTCCCCATGACCCTCATTTTGATGTACCCTAGAGGGAATGCCGAGGTATAACCCCAACAAACAGAGGGCATACCAAGAATTGCTGAGAGTTCCCCATCCAAGCCACTTGGAACGTTGGCACCGAAAAAATGCTCGACTTTTGCATGCTGATTTGTTGTCTAGACGCAGTACAGTAAGACTTTATTATCTGGGTAATGTTTCTACAATTCTGGTGATTAGCCTTGAGAAATAACGTGTCATCTACAAAAAATATATAAGAAATACAAGGGCCTTGGGCTAAGCCTGATACCCTCAATAAATTCCAACTCTGCCGTTTTTTGGATTAGAAGCAAAAAAACATCACTGACCAATAGGAACAAGTAAGGAGAGAGGGGATTGCCTTGTCGCAAGCCATGGGTGGGGGAAAATTTTTTACCTGGTTAACCGTTCACCAGCATAACAAAGCTTACAGATGAAACACATCCCATTATAAGGGTTACCCATCTCGGGTTAAACCCTATCTTTAGCATAACTTCCCGTAAAAAGTCTCATTCAATCCTATCATATGCTTTGTTCATATCTAGCTTTATCCCCAACTCAAATCTTGTTTTTGCTTTCCTTAACTTCAGAAAGTGGAACATCTCATGGGCAATAACAATGTTACTTTGGATTTGACGCCCTGTAACAAAAACGTTGTGCATAGGATAGATCAGGTCCGGGAGTAAAGGTTTTAGCCCATTAGCCAGTACCTTCGAAAGAACCTTATACGAATAGTTGCATAAGCTTATTGGACAGAACTGAGCGATCGTCTCTGGATTCTGCACTTAGGGGGCCAAGGCAATGTGAGTGGAATTGAGGCGTTCAAGGACATCACCATTCATGAGCTCTTTAGCCATACCTCTGACATCTTGACATTCTATCCCAGTTTACTTGGTAGAATACTCCTTGTAAGCCATCTGGGCCTGGAGTCTTGAAGCCCCCATGTGAAAAAAACCACCTCTTTGATTTCCAAATCAGAAAGCATTTCCATTAATCTTCGAAGAGATTTTTTGATCGACACAATTGATGATTGATCCCCAATCACATTGGCCTTCAAAGTAAATAACTCGATGAAATGTTTCTCCACATATTCCGAAATAATTCTTGAGTTATCCACCTACTAATCATTTTCAACTCGGAGCTTCATAATTTTGTTTTGCCTTCTCCTTTGCAACGTCGATTGGTGAAAGAAAGCCATATGCATGTCCCCCTCCTTTTGCCACTTGATCCTAGATTGTTAGAGCTAATATTTTTCATCCTTTTCACGCAACCTGTCAATCTGGATAGAGAGTGACTCAATTTGAACCCTATTTTATCCCCAATTTTTTTGCATTTCCTCTAGTTGTAATAATAGGGAACTCACAGCTGCCCCATTCATACCAACCTTCCTACGACTCCACTCCAATAGTCGACATTTGCAGGAGTTGAGTTTCTTCTGCCACCTATTGAGCCGTTCCCCCGAGTACACTTTTCCCCAACATTTGTGAATTATTTCTTTCCCTTCCTCATCTTTCGCCCAGGACGCGTCATACTTGAATACGTGTTTGCCCTTCCCCTCCCACGGCTAGCAGTTAGTAACAATGGGGCAGTGGTTAGATCCCATCACTGTACTGTGCATGATCGAGGTGCCCAGCCAACATGCTTACCAATTCCCATTTGCAAGCACCCTATCCAAGCAGATGTTGGATGCCGTGTTGATCGAGGAGGGATGCAGCAGAAACACAAAGAAGCTAACAACTAGTTTTATTTAAATTGTAACGGCTAGTTAGTCTTTAGTGATAGTTTTTTACAAGTGGAAGGCTTAGATTAAAAGCTCCAATTAAGGGCTAAGATTAGCTTTGTACTATCAGGTTGTTATGCTTTTGTCAGCTAGCTCCAATAGAGATAAGGGCTGATTATGCACACCTAAAACCTTACTGATATCATATATAAATAAATGGTATGAGCTGCTGCAATAGCAGACTAATATAGCCGACATTCCCTTCCTTTTTTCTGTGCAATCATCATCATTCTCTGAATCCAAAACCCTACCAAAACGATCATACAAAACATCAACTTCATAAAACACTAACATGGCCTCAGAGCTTGGTTCTTGATCACTGAAATTTGGGCGTTTGTGGAATCTGTTTTTTTTTTTTTTTTTTTGGGTTGTTCAAGTAAATGCTGAAACCCTAAGTGTCAATACAAGTCGAAGATGAAAGGATCTGGGGGGTGGTGACCTCAAATCTCCAATCTTTAATGGAGAAAACTACGACTAGTGGAGGATTCGAATGACTACCATCTTCAAGTCGTATGATCTCAGGGAAATGGTTCAACATGGATATGAACTACCAGAGATGGAGATCGATGCTCTAGAAGAGGATCTCACAAAGAAACAGATAACTATACTAAAGGAGAATAGGATGAATGATGCTAGAGCGTTGGGAATCATTCAAGAGGCTACCTCAGACTTCATATTTCCCAGAATAGCAAATGAAGAAACTGCCAAGGCTGCTTGGTATACTTTGCAACAAGAATACAGAGGAGATGTGAAGGTACGAAAAGTAAAACTCCAGTCTCTTAGACGTGATTTTGAATACACACGCAAGAGAGAAGATGAACCACTTAAAGACTATTTTTCTAAGCTGTTTGATGTTGTGACTCAAATGAAAACTTATGGAGAAGAACTGCCTAATGGAAGAATTGTGAAAAAAACTTCTAATTAGTTTGACTAAGCCTTATGACTCTATTGTGAGTGTGATAGAAGAAACCAAAGATATTGATACACTCAGTGTACAAGATGTGATGGCTTCCTTGAGAACATTTGACTAAAGACTCGAGAGGCATGCTGATGGTGCAACTGAGAAAGCCTTTCAGTCACTAAACATAGGGTCTTCTAGTCACTCTAATCAACATCAAAACAGACCAAGGAAAGATTGGAAAGGGAAAAACA